TGCTTTGGAGCCTCTTCAACAGGGGCAAACCATACTATTTGAAGGTTTGTTGATAACATATATATTCATTCATGTGTCTTGTTGACTTTGTATCGAAGTTGGGTGTGAGGTTTCTAGTATGGCGTCCGGGCAGGGGCAAGATCTTTTCTCTCTGATGGTGTGTTTGGTGAGTAATTTATTCTACATGAGCCGTCCCCTGCCAGCATTGCTGTGGCCCAGTTTTAATTGCTGTCTATATAGGTTTATTGTATTATTGTGCAGGCATCGAATTGTGCCTTCTGTAAGCCGCCTTGAGTCCCCCCCTCGGGGGTTGAGAAGGGTGGGGTAGAAGTACACGAAATAAATAAAAATAAATAGATGCCTGTCCCAACAATTCTCCACACTTAGTCCATGATCTGAAGGTACAGCTACACTGCAGAATTAATGAAGTCTGAGTAGGGGGGGCATGGGGGGGGAGAGGGGGGGCAGTAGGGGGAGTTAGGTGGGGGGGGGGTTGGCGTAGTCTTTATGAGCACAATGAATGTTTTGGTTGAGTTATTCAGGGTGTTGGTTGATTGTAGTGAATTGAGTTGATGGGTGTCATACGAGGATCGGGGGGGAGTCTTTGGTTTTCAGGGTTTTGAAAATTGAGGTGCATACTAGCTTTGATTGAGCACTAGACTTGAGAAAATATAGGCATTACAGTATTAGATTTCTTCTGCAAATTTGGGATGGTCTGGTGTTTTCATAAACCTCATCAATTTGTCATTTTCTAGCAGATCCACCGTTTTTGTTATCCATAAATCTTGAGCTGTAATTTCTTCTTGTTTTCAGTAATCACAAATAATGAAGAGCTCTTCTCTTGTTTGATTAATTAGGTCCATTTATATTTAAAGAAAGTATATTTAGCATCCTCATTCTTGTGTTAGTAGATGATCATCCAATTCTTCTTCATTTGAAGTGGCTTGTTGCTATTGTTGAACGTCTTCCTTATCCAGGTTCTACTGGAGGGGACGTGGTTTTAAAAAGGGAATTTTCAGAGATGCCCATCCCAATGTCCATATGTCATGATTTACTGCCATATTGACTTATTTCTGCAGTACGCCTATGTTCACAGAAAATGCTGATTGTTTGAGAAATCAGTGCTCCAAAGAAGAAGTTACTATTCAAGGATAACAGTATATCCGGACAAAACCAGCTAGCTGTTGGCTAATTAGAACCCCCAAGTTTCCCAGTCGCTCTGAAGCCATGTTTGCAACAGACTAACAGATAAGATACAGTCATGGTCAGAGAACAATGCACTATAGTTATGTTATGGTTGTGCCATTGTTAGGATCCGACGTGTGCTATAATGTCAATCAAAATCATAAACAACTAATGAACAAATGTATAGCTAACTTAGACCAATGAAATGATTTGTCTTTGGGAACCAATGAAAATGTATATTCCATTTACTATAAATGGTCTGCAGCCCTATTGGGGGTTGTGACAAACCCTTTGATTGCATCCCTTTCTTCCTCTCTTGTTTAACTTTATCTAAATATTTTTCAGCCTGTATGATTCTCTTGTCAATCCTTACCTCCATTTTTTTTCAGTCCATCTGTAATAGTTCTTATTTGGGTCAAGATTTCCATCATTGGATATTCTTCTTGAGAAGGAAATCCTCTCCTGGAAGCTTCTTTCTGATCTTCCTGATCTTTGAATTTCGTTCTTGTTGACATTGTGGTCATTTTTGCAATCAAGCTGCATTTTTTGAAAAATAGACATCTACTGCATATGTACTAGGCACTAGACAACGTTTTAGGCCTGGAAAATCTTAAGAAAAGTTGGGGGTTGTCTAGTACACCGGGTATAAAACTAAAATAATAATAATTAAAAGAAAAGAATAAAATCCAACTACCTTAGGAGGGAGGGAGGGAGGAGGAGGGCACAGGGAGGAGGAGCGGCAGGCCATATTGCCATGGAGGGGTGATTGCCCACTCAGCTGTCCCCATGGCTAAAGCCCAGGATCGCCAGTGCAGTGACAAGGGTGCTCTGGAGTTGCCTGAGAAGGCAGGAATCCTTTCTGCCTCGAGGCACGGCCATGGCTCGCTGAACCCACCGAAGGAGTCAGGAAACTACGGAGGCGCTGAATGCAGAGTCGTCTTAAATGGCGAGTATATCCCCAACTCTGTATTTTGTGTTGAAAAGTTGGGGGGTCATCTTATAGCCCCAGTTGCCTTGTATTCTGGAATATATGGTAATTCTTAAAGATTTGTTGTAGTACCTCCTTTAGCCACTTTCACTTTAGTGCACTGTGGCTTGCAGCTCTTTTAGTTGTTTCCCTGTTTTTTGTATTTCTGTATTTCAAGCTCTATGATTTTCTCTATGGTTTTATTTCTATAGTTCATCTCTATGGTTACTTCCTGTCTTATTTCATGTTTGGAATCTCTCCATAGGCTCCATGTGGTCCCAAAATGTTATGGCTATTGAGTTCTTAGGTGTGTTAATCAATTTTAATCTCACAGTTCTTATAGCATAATCTTTAACAAATTTATTTACTTTTTAGTTTTCTCACCAGATAGTTTTACAAGGCAGACATAGAAAATTATTGAAGAATAGTTTCACTATTTGGATTTTTACAGTGCTTTTAAAAAATCTCTACAATTTTCAACAAAAGAAAAAAGAATACAGTTTACCTCTCAGAGATGTCTTGCCCATGAATTTGGTAAGCTTACAGCAGATTTAAGGGCATCTTTTAGCTCATTTTTAAAGATCTTATATAAATGTTGTACTTCAAGAAGTGAATTGAAGCTACTTCTGTCTGCAACTGCCTGCTTGACAATGTTGCTGGGGCACACAATGAATCTCCCTCCCCTTCTCTTGTTTCAGTGGGGAAGGTGAGATTTTTCAAAATGATCAAGGGTCTGGAGAACAAGCCCTACGAGGAGCGGCTTAAGGATCTGGGCATGTTTAGCCTGAAGAAGAGAAGGCTGAGAGGAGATATGATAGCCATGTATCAATATGTGAGAGGAAGCCACAGGGAGGAGGGAGCAAGCTTGTTTTCTGCTTCCTTGGAGACTAGGATGCGGAACAATGGCTTCAAACTACAAGAAAGGAGATTCCATCTGAACATGAGGAAGAACTTCCTGACTGTGAGAGCCATTCAGCAGTGGAACTCTCTGCCCCGGAGCATGGTGGAGGGTCCTTCTTTGGAAGCTTTTAAACAGAGGCTGGATTTGAATGCAATATTCCAGCTTCTTGGCAGGGGGTTGGACTGGATGGCCCATGAGGTCTCTTCCATCTCTTTGATTCTATGATTCTACGATTCTAAGTCCTGAGAGGTTTGTGTCTGTCCTTTTTCTTTCTGAAAAAGTATTTCTCAACTCCGTGCAGTTGATAAAATCCCAAGGATGTACCAGTGCTCAGCCACTTTGCTAAGTCACTTCTCACAGATCCATTTTCTTCACTGGAAGTCAAGTCTTGAAAGCATTTCATGTTAATTAATCCTGTCTAGGATTAGGAGAAGACAATTATGCTGGGGAAAATGGAAGGAAAAAGGAAGAGGGGCCGACCAAGGGCGAGATGGATGGATGGTATCCTTGAAGTGACTGGATTGACCTTGAAGGAGCTGGGGGTGGTGACGACCAACAGGGAGCTCTGGCGTGGGCTGGTCCATGAGGTCACGAAGAGTCGGAAACGACTGAACGAATGAACAACAACAACAACAATCCTGTCTAGGAAGGAGCTCAGGTTGTTACACACACACACACACACACACGAAATCAAAATACTCACTCTGTGGTAATAGGGTTGAGACCAGATTCATCTGTGTCCTCTGCAATGTACCCAGGTTCTGATGTTTCAGTAGATGACAGCTTTTCATCATGTTCAGTGGTTGATATCTTTTCTGGTGGCTCAGAGATTGTTGATCCTTCTTCTGGATCTGAGATGGCAGGAAAAAAAGATTGGCAGGATCAACAAAAATATTGGTTCTCATTATTCTTGGTAGTAAAAGAACATTCTGAATGAAATCTTCAGATAACGAGAGATAGCTGCATCTTTCAACGCAACTGCCATCCAAAACCTACCTTTTAAACAGTGCAGCATCCACTCCCCAACAAAGCCATTTCCATGATGCCGGAGAGCAGAGGGATGACTGGGAGCAAATACAGCCCTTTTACTGTAGTTGAAAGTGCTGTGATGTTGCAATCTACAATATATTTGGTGATACCCACTGCAGTTGCATACATCCCTGCTGATTCCTCTGCTTTCCAGAAAAATTGAAATAGCCTTCTATGTGTGTTGTTCATACATTTTTGGGAGAATTTCATTGATTTTAGTGCATGTCTGGAAGAGAATTCTGATCATAGCTGTAAAAGTGAACTACAGCAGCCTGGGTCATAGAGCATTGTAATTCATGAACAGGATGCCAGCCACCATGTACTAGGGCATGAATAGGTCAACTTAATTTACCCCTTACTGCACTGGAGATTTTTAAATTTTCCACTTGCACAGAAATGGGCGTGAAATTGCATTTTTAATCCTTGACTTTTTATCACAATAATAAGAGAAGAAGGACAAATGTTTACCTTGGTAGACAATCACTTGAATATTATGTGTGAAATCAGGTAAAAACCTGCGTTTTATACCACACTGATAAAGTCCAGCATCTTCTAATGTCACGTTCTTCATATTCACTTGAAAGCATTGGTTTTGTTGACTGTCTTGGATCGAGATTCTGGTATCCTCCACTTTTCTGTCTAAATCAGAACTTATTAATACAGCACAATAGTAGTTACTGAAGACTTTCCAAACTGCTTGGAATTTGCACCAATACTTAGAATGATTTTCATAGTCTTTGTCATAACAGCATTGTACTGACAGTGATGCTCCTACATCACTATGGACTTTGTTTGGACCATCGAGAGCCCAGCAACCTGCAGACAGCAAAAGAAGGTGAAGTCAGTGTTCATCCATCCTATGCCATACAATCACACCTGTGTTGCCTCTGTTCATATTGCTTGCTCCATCCTGGAAAATTAAAGCAAGATCTGGGAATGTTGCCTTTCTCTGTCTTGTGACCTCAAGTCTCTTGGCAATGCACTTTCTGAATCATTGGGCAGTCCATAACAGCTACTCAATTGATTTTTAAAACGAATTCCTGCTTTACCCCTTGTCATCATAATTATCTCATCCCACCAGCAAGGTGCTGATTCAGCCATGTTTAACTGGAATTTAGGAAACCCAGAGTCTAATCCCCATGAAGACTAACAATTCATGATCCTGGGTCAGGATCCTACTCCACAGGACTTTTATGCATAAAATGTGGCAATTGGGAGCAATCTGTCATTTTGAGCTGATAGGGGAGGAGGCAGGAACAATATATAATTGTAACTAATAACAAAAAGTAAATTAATACCTGGAATTAACACCCAACTCAGAAGAGAAAACATCTTCACGAGCCTCATGGTTCTGTTGTCCAAGTTTGAGGGCAGTTTCAGTGGTCTGCAGTGTTGAATGTAGTCTGACTGATTTTGCAGTCCAAGAGTCAGATCCAACAAATCAGATGCAAAAAGCTGAGCAACTTAACTTTCTTTAGAGATAGTGTAAGAAAAGAAGCACTTTTTTTGCAATTTCTTGATCACCTGCTGCTGTGGTTGAGATATTTCCTCTTTTTTATTTTGAGAATAGGAGGAAGAAACAATGCTCGGTCTTATTTGATTAGATGAAAATTTCAAGGGATTCTGCACTGTCTTCTCCAGAACAACTGGTAAGGTGCTCAAGGGAAGCTCAGAAGTGAAACAAGAGAAACCAGAGCAGTGTTAGAGCTTTCCATCTGATAATTAAACACTCCTCACCAAACTATAAATCTCTGGACAGGATAGAACTTTGGCAAGCAGAAGAGTCTCAACCTGCTACAGTAGAGGTATGTTGGTAAAAGGCAAAGAAGAAGAGGAAGTATTATTTTCTTTCTGTGTCAACAGCAGTACTGTTTCTTAATCTGTGGTCAGAATAGCCAGGCGGAGAGAAGAAAGAGGATTTGCATGTTTGCTAAAACGAAACATGACCCCTGCCCTATAACTGTATTCTTCCCTTTTCTCAAGGGTTTGCCCCCTCAACTTGTCTCTGCTTTGTCCTATGCCTACTACTATGTCCTATATATTACGACTTAATATTCATTACTCGGTAGGAAGCCTGGGTACATGGATGTAGGATGAACTGCAGCCAGTAAAACACAGTGGCTTTCCAAAGAAATGTTCGCCTTCATGATCCTTTCCTTCATTCCCACATCTCCTTTGCTGCCCAGTTTCACCCCCTCTTCAATGGTATGGGGAAAATGAAAATGCTAACTGCCAGGTGGAAACAGGTATGACTTAAATAACCTAAGGGCTCCAGGTCCCATATAATCTTGGAAGCTAAGGTCAGCCCTGAGTAGTACTTAGATAGGAGACTGCCACCAGATTCCAAGTTCAGTAGGCTATATTTCAGAGAAAGGCCCTGGCAAAAACAACTATAAATGTTCCTTAACAAAGAAAATCTAATTAAAGCCATACAAGTTGACATACAACTTGAAGGCACTTCAGCGAATGTGCGTGTGAACACACACACAGAGTATGAGTAAAGCTCAGTTACTAAGTGTCAAGGGGAAACAATCTTTAACAGCTTTCTTTGCCAGAAGTTTGAGCATTTCTACCATTCATGGTAGAGGGCTGCCCTTTTTTGACAATGCTACTTAACAAGGCTGCTAACAGGGTGAGTGTGCCCCACGTGGGTAAGATATCAATGGATCAATTTTTTTGCCACCATCATTGTCATCTGTAAGGCCCTGAAAATGTGTGCTTATCTACAATGGCCATACGGTCCCAGAAATATATATAGTGTGTTGGACATGGAATTTCATGAGCACAGCATTGTGATCCTTCTGTTTGATGTAGGAGTGCAACTTATGTAAATGGGTGTATGATGTCATTCCAAGGAGGCAAATGTAATTTTAATACCAATGCAACTTGAACTTTTGGGTATTTCTGGGTAATATGGAACATTATGCATGGAAGAATCAACCTGTGCAGAACAAAACAGTATTGAAAGTCAATCTCATGTTGCTCAAGTCTGCAGTCCTCAATAAAAAAGAATTAGCATTAGGTTTTGCTGGGGGAACCCCTTCCTCAGCAGCTCTTGAATGTCTGTTAATGTATCTATCTGTTCTCTCTCTGTCTTACTTCTCCTTTCTAACTAAAACCTCATGTTCTTACTTTTGCTTTTCTCGTCTTTGCATACAAACTGCTCTCTACTCTCTGTGTTTGAAGAAATGTAGTTTTTCAAGGATTTTCCCTCTTGCTTTTGAACTTAGAAGAATTGGAGTTAGAGAGAAGCTTAGACCCAATTCTTTTCTATCAAGAAACATAGTTCTTATATTTTTAAATGAACATTTTGAAACTTTAAAGATTGAACCCTGCATCTTTACCTTCTAATCTCAAGAATTCATTTGCAGCCACAACACGTCACCTTCTGCTTGCTGTGAGCTGACTGCTCAATTAAGTATCCTGCTTGTATTTTTGGATGCTCTGCTATTTGGGGGAGAATTTCCTAACAAATAGAATATTTTTATTTTGGTCAATAACCAGTATTAAATCAACCTGTACATAATGGCTGACAGACATATATCTTTTATATGCATAGAGACTGAAAGACAGTAATACATAAATGCAGGGATTGGTTGATAATGTTATCAAGCCACAATACCCCCCGCCACCAAGCACTGAATTCAGAAGGACTCCCCAAGCTGCGGACCTGTGTCTTTGGGGGAGTGTTACCCCGTCAAGCACAGGTTGCCATCCTATACTCTGATTGGCTTTTCAACTGACCAGGAGAACCTCTGTCTTATCAGGATTAAGTTTCAGTTTGCTAGCCCTCATCCAGCCCATCTCAGCTGCCAGACACTGGTTAGGACCTGGGGAGCTTCCTTGGTCTTAGGTGGAAATGAGTAATAGAATTGTGTGTTATCTGCGGACAGATGACACCAAACTCCAAAACTCCAGATGACCTCACCCAGAGGTTTCATGCAGATGTTGAATAGCCTTGCGGGACTCCACAAGCCAGTGGTCAGGCGTGTGAGCAGGCATCCCCCAGCACCACCTTCTGGGTCCGGCCCTCCAGGAATGAGCAGAGCCACTGTGCTCTCAAGTCCCATCCTGGAGAGTCAACCCATCCGGATCCATAAGCCTCTTGGGGCAGACCATCCCCCGCCCCTGAAGAGGTTAGAATTCGCTGTCAAACCTGATCAGGTGGTGGTTGGTCCATGACAATGGAATGATAGTGAGATCCTCCAAACCAACACCGTCATCCCCACCACATTAAAAACCAAGTCTAACATGTGTCCATTCACATTATTCAGATGCTCCCAACCTGATTTGTGATTCTGCCATTTAGAAACAATCCCTTGAGAAGTCCCACCTGAATTTTGACATTTTCCAACCTGAGACTGGATCAATCCACATAACAAAGTACTTGGCCTCTACTATTCTTCCCTCCAATGAGCAGTCAGGCTTTATTTCTTGAAGTATGGACTGGTTGGATTTTCTTGCTGTCCAAGGCACTCTCAGCACTTTCCTCCAGCACCACAGTTCAAAAGCATCTATCTTCCTTCGCTCAGCCTTCCCTATGGTCCAGCTCTCACATCCGTAGGTGACTATGGGGAATACCATTGCTTTAACTATGTGGGTCTTTGTTGCCAGTGTGATGTGTTTGTGTATTTACATTGTACTTATCTGTGTATTTAGAGAGTTTTAAAAAGGATGCCTGTTTTAAAAAGTGTGCTGGTGTCCTGAACTGGTCAAGCTAGAAAGGGAAGGAGGTGATCCTGTGTGATAGGGGTGAGTAAATTATCTGTCTTCTTTAAAGACAGAACCTCATGAAATGCCATGCAAAGAAGACAATTCTATCTGCTTTCCCCCTTTGTGGGATGAAATCCTTAGTTCTTGTAGCTTCTTTTTTAAAAAAATATTTTTATTGAACTTTTCCAAATACAATGTTTGGGAAATAGACATTTGGGGGTGGGGAGTGGGGGTGAGGGGGGTTGTGGGGTGTATATAGGGATTGGGGGGGGGGAGAAAAAACAAAAAAAAGTGACATAACATAGGGGGAATAAAGAAAAAAGAAAGAAAAAAGGGAAGGAAGAGCTTATTGAAAAGAAAAAAAGAGCTTCTTGATTTTGATACATTGTTCAGAATGGATGGGGCAGAATTGTTGTTTTCTTGGGCTTTCATGAAGGTGTCTCAGAAGCCACATGATCAGATGATCGTCTGTTCTTTCTATACATTGCAAAGCCCAGACACAAGAAGATGAGCATTTTCGAGCCAACCGAAATCAGGAAAGGCAAATAAATCGGGTAACTGCATCAAAGAAACAGAATGTTATTATTTCTATAAAAGACAGCAATGTTATTTCTTACAGTTTCCTAATAGAAAAGTTGATCTGCATACTATGGATATAGAAAAGAAAATCTGCTGCAGGTTCCAATGCTTAGCCTCCAGAATTGAAAAATTACTGTGTCTATCCCATTCTTTACCTGATACCTTTCCAATGCAAATGACTGCTGATCATGAACCAATGGAATGTATTTATGTAGATCTATCAGGTGATATTTTTTACTAGTTGCTGATTGGCTACTCTCCTTGATTTCTAGCATCATGATCATGAGCAAAGCCTTCCTTAGACACATGAATGCATCTAGCCTATCCTTGCTAGATCTATAGATGGATCTATTTATAACATAATGAATGATGATGTTTACCATCAGTTGTCACATTTTCTCTAGAAGCTGTCTAACTGACATGCTCAATTCCTGATCAATGAAACCATAAATGATTTTATTCACTTAACAGTTAACAACATCCTGAGGTAAGTTCCTTCCACTAAAATCTAAAAATACTCAGATTATCTGCTTATTCCAGGTTATATGGCAGTGGAGATTTATATCCAGTTCAAAACCAATAACCTGGGATCAGATCCTGGGATATAAGAACAGTATAAAAGGGGCCAAATACTAAGTGCTGTAGGTTATATTTCAGAAGTAATTCCTTTATTCATATTTTGTCATCCCAAGTACTAGCTTCACCAGAATATGGTGAAAATTGGCCTTCTTATCTGGTCTACTTCTTACTACAGGGTCTGGAATTGGGAGGATTATTCTTATTGTTCCTACCTATAGTTAAATGCTTCGCATACTCTTATCTAATGATTGTTATTTTGGAATGTTGATTCTTGTTTCCAGGTCTTCTTCCTTTGCTTTTGCATTTCTTTTGCTGGACTCCTTCCCCAGTTGTGATCACAAAGATAAGGCAGCAAAACTCACAGTTTAACATCCTCATGAAATGTGCTGATGAAACACACACACACACACACACACATTCCTATATACCTTAAGGATCTGGAATCCAGGATGGGAAAGGAGGAACTGCTGAGCTCAATGCTAGTTGATTTTTCAGTGGTTACTGATGCAGAGAAGAAAATAAAAGAAAGGTGAGACATCCATATAGTTCATGATAAGCCAGCCTGGATCGGATTAAACTCCCGACCATTTGTCTAGCTTGCTGTTGACCTTTGCAGCCCAAAGACAGTTGCATCTCTCAAGTAGGAATTTAGGTACTGCTTATTCGGGGAGGCTAATTTAACTAATTTAAAACACCATAAAACTCTCCAGCAGCATGCAAAAGAATGAGGATATACTCCATCAGTGTCACAAGTGGATTGTGAAGCAACAGCTCCCCCTGTGGCCGGAATTCAAAACATACCCTCATGAAGCTGGAAAGTTCAACAGCCTCTGTGTGTCTGTCTATATATGTTCTGTGTCTATGGAATTCATTGAATACTTGCCATGTATATGTGCATTGTGATCCACCCTGAGTCCCCTGCAGGGTGAGAAGGGTGAAATATAAATACTGTACATAAAGTAAAAATAAATAAATAAGCCAATCTCATCATACGTTGCAAATTTCAGCTGCAACTCCTGTTGTGCCACAGCTTTGCCACAGAGCATGCTGCCTCCCACTACACATGGGAGAAGTACTTCCAAGGTGTCTCCAGGGCAAAACAGTGCCAAAACCTAAGGTGCTGCTGAAAAAAGGCCGCCAGCAGGATCACGGGAGGTTTCCTGCATTACATTGTCCTCAATGAGGCAAGCAGGCTGGCAGACGCTTCCTCTCATGTGATGAGGGAAAGAGGAAGCCAGAATGGTACGAGGGACAGGGTGATAGGTCCCCATGCCTCCTGGGGGGGCGCTGCAGGGATTGCCATGATGTGCATGTATGACAAGGTATTAGATAGATATACACTTTACTTGGTAAATGTCTTTTACTTGGTAAATGTCTATTACTTTCTGCCCCGTGCCTCACTTTGATCATAAGCATTTGCCTCTATAGCCAGATAATCCTCCATTTTACATGAGAGAAGTAGTTAACCTTTTTTCCCATCCTCCTTCAGTCCTTATCAATAAAGGATGCCAGTTGCAGGGCTACACCTGACTCCAACCTTATTTTATGGAATTGAATGAACTGAAAGTGTTCACTGAACCCTTTTGCCTTCTCCCTCATTGAAGGTTTGACAGTGAAAGAGAAGAGGCATCCATGGTCACTTGGACGCCTCTGCAGATGTCAGCACAGGTCACCCCTAATGGCCAAGATCTCTCACAGAGCTCTGTGACCGCAACAGTGATGGTGACAGGGATGATAAGGCGACAGTTCATACCATCGTTGGGCTGAATGGGCCATGTAGCACGACTGGACTATGTTGAGGGCCTTAGACTGCCTCTTTCTTCTCCATGCCTTCTGCTATTGCATTCATCTGCAAATATGTCAGCTACAAAGTGTGTATTCTTATGGTGTTTTTACCTGTGTATTGTGGTCTGCTTGTAGAGGTCATCTGATGGATGATGTTCACTGAAATCAGATCTTCTTTATCATCCAATGATGCATTAACTAAAGCGGCTGGGAATTAGAAAAGAATCTCATTACTTCTGGACACACTAGGATGCCTCCTCCTTTTCCTGAGTCTTGTGGGCAACTCTGCCCGCAATGGTTTGAATCTTTTACAGAGCGCTGCAACCACCCAGCAGTGGTGACAAGAATGGTCCAGCAGGGCTGAATGGTATCAGCATAGCTAGACAATGTAGATTCTACCCCACTGCCACAGTGGTTTAGGCACAGAGGATGTCGCAAGCTCTGGGCTCAATCCAGTTTTGTTACTGCTCTGGACTGGCCACAGATTAAGTGACCAGTTTAGATATACCCTAAATAATAGGGCTGGGCAACCACAGAAAAATTTGTTTCTAAACTCGATTCGTTTTAAGGGGGTTTTTGCATTTTGATTTTTAAAAGAATTCCGAAATTTTTCTTTAAAAAAGTTCGAAATTTACGAAATTTCGGAAATTACGAAACAATTGCAAAACAATTACGAATCGATTCGTTAATGGCGGACGCAACCGCACAATACACTAAAAAAACCTCCAAATGGGACAGGGGGAACTTCTGAAGCTTCCCTCTCCCTCTGTTGTTGACTGTTGGTGTGATAATTATATTTTTTTTTCACTGATAAAACAAACAACAACTATAAAACTTGCACCAGACATGCGGAAATAATAACGAAACGATTTCGAAACAATTATCGAAACAATTACGAAACAATTACGAAACGAATTGAAAAATTCGTTTCGATTTTTAGTTGCTCCTGAATGGTTCAATATCGCTTCGTTATAAAAAAAATAACGAATTAATAACGAATTACGAAATTAACGAACGAAACCGCCCAGCCCTACTAAATATGGTGATGAGTACCTTATCACACTAGAGTTGAAAGAGTGGTACAACGGGCAGCAGCCAGATTATTTATTTATTTATCGTGTCAGGAGCAGACCAAACAGTTGCATTGCATTTTTAACAAACAAACAGACAAAACAAAGTTTGCAAGCTTGGTAGTTGATTAAATGTCCTTTGACCAGTATCTGGCCACTTGGAGTGCCTCTGGTGTTGCTGCAAGAAGGTCCTCCATTGTGCATGTGGCAGGGCTCAGGTTGCATTGCAGCAGGTGGTCTGTAGTTTGCTCTTCTCCACACTCGCATGTCGTGGATTCCACTTTGTAGCCCCATTTCTTAAGATTGGCTCTGCATCTTGTGGTGCCAGAGCGCAGTCTGTTCAGCGCCTTCCAAGTTGCCCAGTTTTCTGTGTGCCCAGGGGGGAGTCTCTCATTTGGTATCAGCCATTGATTGAGGTTCTGGGTTTGAGCCTGCCACTTTTGGACTCTCGCTTGCTGAGGTGTTCCAGCGAGTGTCTCTGTAGATCTTAGAAAACTATTTCTTGATTTAAGTCATTGACTGCTGACTGATATCCTAAAAGGGAATGAGCTGGAGATGTCACTGCCTTGGTCATTTCACTATTGGTTGCTACTTCCCAGCGGACGTCAAGTGGTGCAATACCGGCTAAACAGTGTAATTTCTCCAGTGGTGTAGGGAGCCACTGGGGAAATTGTTTATGTGATTTATATTAATTGTTTTGTATTGATTTTGTTATTGCTTTTGTTTACTGATGTACTGTGGGCTTGACCTCATGTAAGCCACACCGAGTCCCTTGAGGAGATGGTGGCGAGCTATAAATAAAGTATTATTATTATTATTATTATTATTATTATTATTATTATTATTATGCCCTACTCACATGGAAATGAGTGGAGCCCACTCAACACATAAAAATCTATCTTGCTAATTGCACCCCATACACTTATTTAACAGACAATGGTTATTTCCTCCCACCCTGGACATTCCACAGATATATACACCCCCAGTTGCTTGAATACCATCAGATCCTCTGAAGATGCCAACTAGGTGAAAGGTCAGGAGAAAATGCTGCTAGAAAACGGCCATACAGCCTGGAAACCACACAACGCCTCAGTGATTCTGGCTGTGAAACCCTTAGACAATTCATAACATGAACACTCCAGCAGCTTCTGTGTACAGGGTGCATCAGAAGGACAAGCCAATTTGTTCTTTACTTCAGCAGCAAAATATGCCTTCATTCTTTCTTTGTATGCATGTAATTTGCTAATATTAACATCATTTTATTTTCATGCAACTTAATAATTGCTGGGAAGATAACGGTTTGTTTATGAAAGCTGCGTATCTGCCCAGCGTCACTCACATGTTGGAGGCACTGCTGTCCCTCTGCTTCCATCCCTTTTTCTTATTCTCTCTCCTCATACCTTTTCCCTTTCCCCTTCCCCTCTCTTCCTTCCTTCCCTCCTTTTTCTTTCTTCCTCTTTCCCTTCCTCCCTTCTCCTTTTTCTGTTTCTGTCTTTCTTCCTTTCCTTTCTTTTCTTTCCCCTTCCCTTTCTCTTAGGGCCTCGCAATATCTCCATGGCTCTCTTTGTGACTCTTTCTTTCCTTCTTCGTTTCCCCTCATACACATCACCTTTCTTTCTGAGTGACATCATGGAGGACAACTTTTCCTAGCAACAGTCATTCCTTCTCCCGGCAACAGCCAATCCAGTGACACCACAAAGGTCCACTGGATTGTCATCTAGCAATAACCTTTGAGGTACAGACAGGTGTATGTGTGTGTGTGGTGTGGGCAAACTTAGGCCCTCCAAGTGTTTTGAACTTCAACTCCCAGAAATCCCAGGCAGCTTTCTGGCTGTTAGGAATTGTGGGAGTTCAAGTCCAAAACACCAGCAAGGCCAAAATTTTCCCATGCCTAATATAGATATAGATCTATAGACATGACTCTGACAGCAATGGTATTCCCTGTAGTAACCTATGGATGTGAGAGCTGGGCCATAAGGAAGGTTGAGTGAAGGAAGATAGACATTTTTGAATTGTGGTGCTGGAGGAAAATTCTGGGAGTACCTTGGACCACAAGAAGATCAAACCTGACCATACTCCAGGAAATAATGCTTGACTGTTCACTGGAGGGAAAGATATTAGAGGCAAAGATGAAGCTTGGAGAAGATAATGATTCTGGGGAAAATGGAAGAAGAAAAATAAGAGGGGCCAACCAAGGGCAAGATGGGCAAGATGGATGGATGGTATCCTTGAAGTGACTGGCTTGACCTTGAAGGAGCTGGGGGTAGCGACGGCCAACAGGGAGCTCTGCCATGGTCACGAAGAGTTAGAATTGACTGACTGAATAAATAAATAAATAAATAAATAAATAACAACTGACATCTGTTACCTATTAACTAACAAATCTTTGACAGAAATAAGACAAAACTTCTAGTATTTTCTGTAACATGTATATTCCAACTATTACACTGTGTAACAAAATTTGGAAAAAAAATATGTTTCTGGCTTGAAAGTGTTATTACTTGTTTAATTGTATGGTTTTTAGCTAAAGAATCCTAGGTAGCTGATATTTTGAAAATCACGCATTGGTTAAATGCTTTCACTCTAAGGCTGACCCAACTCCTAGAGTTGTTTTTATGATAGGAAGTGGAGGAAGGGAGTCATGGACACTACTTTAAGCACATTGGAAGAAATGTGAAAACCAAGAATTTCTAAATTCAAGATATAAATCTTTTCTCTGCATCCAAATATGTCACTTGTCTTAAGTGACAAGATTCTGATCAAGAGATAGAATGCATGAATTCATTCCTCACTGGAGCGCCTGCTTATATTGGAGCTCCTGATTAATTGGGCCTTCCACTAAGCAGCATGGGGCAGCACAGAAATGGTAGCAGGGTATCGGAAGAGATACTCTTCCTATCTTAGACTTTTTATTCCAATTACTCTTCCTTTCTCAGGCTTTCTCCTTTTACTTGCATTTTTTTTTATTTTGCTGCCAAGTTTGGGAAAGGGAACTCACCTGGAAGAACTTGAAGAGATACATAGTATAAAATGCGTAATTCTTCTTTTTCTATGATGCCCCAATACTTCCCGGTATCTTTTTCTATGAGGTTCTCTAGGGTGACTGTTAATTGAAATGTTGTTTGGTTGTCTTTGATGGTGGTTCTGCCATTCTTCACCGCTTCCTCTGTTCCATCAGTTTTAACAACAGTCATACATGTACTCCAATCAGCTCCTTGGCACCAAGATTTAATGCTGTTTTTGTAGATGTCTTCATATGGGAAGACCAGGACCAGTGAGTTGCCAGGACTTAGAATCATCTCTTCGGCATCTACCAGAACAGATGTGAAACCTGAAAAGCAGAATGAAAGGCAAACTGAGACGATCATTCAAGCTGTGATCCTTCTTTGCAAAGCAGAATCTGTCAAATCACTTGTTGGCAATGCAGGATACATATTAGCTAGAGAATCCTAGATAATTTATTTTTTGAAAATCACACATTGGTTAAATGTTTTCACTCTAACGCTTACCTACCTCATAGGGCTGTTTTGATGACAGGAAGGGGGGAGGGGAGTCAAGGACACTACTATAGGAAGAAATGTGAAAAGCAAGCATTTCTAAATTCAAGATGTAAACATTTTCTCTGCATCCAAATACAAGGCTAGTGCTACTGAAGCTTCTAGAGTAGACTTAAGTGACAAGATTTTGATAAAGGATATTTATTTATTTATTTATGACATTTCTACCCTGCCTTTCTCACCCTGAAAGGGACTCAAGGTGGCTTTACAAACAGGCAATGATTCAATACCTTAAAACACAATATACACTTAAATAAATATTAAAATAGAATTTAAAAGTACATTAAAAACAATTAAAACATTTAAAAACAATTCAGAGTTAAACACGTGATCCATGAGCGTAATCCAGGCTGTTCCAGTGGCCATTGCATATTGTTCCAAGTCTATCTACTGTACAAGTTCTCTAAAGGCTTGGTCACAAAGCTACGTTTTCACTCTCTTGCGGAAGGTCAGGAAGGAGGGGGTTGGTCTAATATCCCTGTGGAGGGAGTTACACAGCCAAGGGGCCATAACTGAGAAAGCCCTGTCTCTTGTCTCCGCCAATTGCACCTGCAAGGGAGGCAGAACCAAGAACAAGGCCTCCCCAGATAATCTTAAACTCCGTGGTGTTCCATAGAGGGAGATACATTCAGACAGATAAGCTGGGCCAGAACCATTTAGGGATTTATAGGCTAAAGTCAGTACTTTGAATTGTGCTCAGTAGCAGATTGGCAGGCAGTGGAGATGACGTAACAGAGGGGTTGTATGCTCCCTGTATGCTGCTCCGGTGAGCAATCTGGCTGCTACCTGTTGGACCATTTGTAGCTTCCAAGCAGTCTTCAAAGGCAGTCCCATGTAGAGTCCGTTGCAGTAGTCTATTCGGGATGTAATCAGAGTGTGGACTACCACGGCCAAGTCTGACTTCCCAAGGTACTTAAAAATATTAATTTTTAAGTATTAGATATTCATAACTGGAGTTTCTGCTTATATGGGAGCCCCTAATTAATGAGCCCCACTGTTAAGCAGCACAAGGCAGCACAGAAATGGTGACAGGATGTTGGAAGAGATACAGAGTTCTGGGAAATGTAGTTTAGGGAAGCCAAAGACCTTTCTAGCTGAGAATTCCAAAGGACCTTTCCCAGAATTCTGCAGGAGATGGCCACATGATAGGAAAATGGGAGTGCCTGCTTTGTATTTAAGGTTGTTTTTCAGATGCCTCAAAGAGTGCTTTAAAATGTTTTAAATTTGTGTGTGTGTGTTTTTTATTTATTTTTATTTGTTCACTGCCTCAGCGACCCATGTGATACAGAAATAAAGTTCAATAACAAAGAAGTTGTGGGAAATACATTGAAAAGATAACGTATTAAACTTTCTCCAATAAACTACAGTGCCAGTGCAGAGTTAATATCATACGTAATAGCTGGAATATTGGTGTTACATAAAAATATTAGAAGTACATTTAATTTCTTTCAAAGAAGTGTTAGTTTATAGCTAACAGCTGTTGGGGTCAATAATAATAATAATAATAATAATAATAATAATAATAAATTTATAGACCGTCCCCTCTCCCCGAGGGGATTCAAGGCGGGTTACAACAAAAAAAAAGGCAAGCATCCAATGCCCAGACAAATGCCACCCCCTCCCCAAATTACAATCTATATAAATAAAAATGTAATGTTCATTTGTGGGATTAACATAACTCAAAAACCACTGGACAAATTGACACCAAATTTGGACATAATACACCTATCAGGCCAACGAGTGACCATCGCTCATAAAACAATGAAAAACACAGTGGAATGGACTTTAAAAGGCCAAAAATAAAAATGCATTACAATGCATGCACAAAACCACATATATATACACAAACACACATATACACAAATATAAACACACAAAAACCACATATACACAGACTGGGCCACAGCAATGCATGGGAAGGGATGGCTAGTAATGCAATATAATAAACATAATAATGACAGTGAACTTATTGTATAAAAAACTGACATCAAAATGAAAAATAAGAACCAAATAATCACACAGAAACAGACAGAGGCTTTATTCACTTTGCACAAATTTGTCTTCATCCTGGTGGAGTCATAGCTGGTGCCATTGTGCTAAGAGAGATGTACTCCAATCCCTTTCAAATGGGTTTCCTGCACCAGTGTTGGACCAGCAAAGTTTACTTTCAGGCTGAGGAGTAACTGTGTCAATCTATTACAGGAACCACACGATGTTTTCTAGCACTTTAAAAATTAGCATGCATTATTGGGCTCCCCCCATTTGAAATGCATGGAGTATTGCCTAGGTGGACAGACATTCATACATAGAAGTGTATATGTTTAATGTAACAGAAATAGCCCTCTTAATCTATGAATTCAACCATCAATGGCTTGAAAATATTCCTCCCCTCCCCCCAAGAAAATTCCTAAAAGAAAAAAAATCATTTTTGCCATTTTATAGAAGGGAACTCATTTTACTATTCCATGGTCTTAAATGGGGTTTGAGCAGCCACAGTACAGTATCTATGGCGATCCTGGAACCAAACTCCAGGAGACACCAAGGACCCTTTTTTTTCTTTAGTACTAGAACTGAGCAGAGCTTCCTCTCCTTCTTCTCCTGAAGGTACTTTCCTACTTAAGCAGTATAATCTAGATAGGGTGGGGAGTTCTTTTGTTGCAGTTCCTGTTGTTAAAAAATTGAGAAACAAAAACCTTCTCCAGCAACCCAGAGATCTTCCAGGACAATGGTTCCCAATCTGTGGTCCGTGTACCACTAGTAGTCCGCAAGAATGAAAATATGGTCCGCAGCCTCACAACTACTACACCATTGTCTCAAAACTAAGCTGCAACGAGAGCAACTGCTCTCACGAAGCCCTCTTATAGTGCTGAGGCAACAGGGATATCGGGAGGAGAGAGGCTGACTGACCACAAAAGATTACTACTACCATATCAGATCTAAATTATTAAATATGGTTTTCTGTGAGTAAGCAGATGGTGACTGCTGGATGGCATATGTTCTCTATCAGAAAGTAGAGCTGACATGATCTATCCAATGCAATTTTCTGAATCAGCACCCCAAATAACCAAACTGAATCTAAAGTTGACCAAAAACAGATTTGTAACTCTTTTGGTACTAATGCTGGAGAGTGGTCCCTGGCCAAAGTGGTCCCTGGTCAAAAAAAGGTTGGGAACTACTGTTCCAAGAGATTCAAATCTACCCTCTCATATCCCACACTGCTTTGCAACTGACAGAAAGTACTAAACATTGCGAAGATACAGTTAGAATAATAGAGTTGGAAGACACCACAAGGGCCATCTTTTCCAATCCCCTGCCATGCAGGAAAAGCACAATCAAAGCAGTAAGTTATGAAACTAGTGAATTGATTTGCTTCCTAATGTACAATATGTAAGTGTCAATTTCTTGCATCTTATTATAAGCTGCTAAATCAGCTTCTTATAATAGGATGCAAGAAACTTTAAGCTGCTAGGAAAAATAACCCTCAGGTCCAGATCTGGTGCCTTGTCTCTAGCACTTCTGTTCTCGGTAATAGGGCTATCTTAACAGAAATATATGACCCCTGTTAAAAGCAGTAAACAGGCCCTGCCAACACATCTGCTCATAGGAATAAAAATGTATATTGTTGTTAAAATAAACATATTTATTGATACCTCCAACAAAATCAGTGTTTTGACATTAATAAAAACAAGATGTACAACAAAGAACTTTTAGACAATATAGCATGAGCATTGACCCTGAAAAACAAAAAATCATCATGAAAATGGTACTTAGTTGGTAAATCATACTGATGGAGATGATAAATCACAGATTGTGGAATTAGGGTGAGGCCCTTATCCTCATGGTGCCCTCCAGGCAACTGCTCAGTGTGCCCATGCGTTAAGGTGGCACAGCTTGAGCCATGCATTTCCAATTCTCTCAAGGTTTCCATGTCCCCTAAGGCAAACTAGACCAATGGAGCCATCTTACCTGTTAGAAGAAAGAGGGCTCTTGCTATCAAGTGCCATTGCTGTAGGCTGTCCATCCTCACAGGATTGTATTCTTGTCTACACCTTGACTACACAAGATGTTGGTTTTGTTGAACACTGTCAAAGAAATCTACATTCCAGGAGCAAGTGCTTTGTAATAGTATTTGAATACCACATACAGTACTTTATGATGAACAGATCCCAGACACTTCTCCTTTTGTTGGCCAAATGGAAGAACTGGCAATTCAACTTCCTTCCTTTGTTTTCCTTCTTGGAAACCCAGGTTTGACTGTTGTTGAAATCCTGTTTCCTCTTTCTATTCACAATATTTTTCAGAGTTAGGGGAATCAGATTAAAGGCAGGGAAAATTGTCACAATATAGGATACATGTATTTTGGGTTTGCTGATTAGTCGTGAATAGAACTAGTCAAAGCCAACATCCTTAACTGGAGAGAAAGGTGCATTCTGACAGGGTCTGGAAGTACACTGCCATATAATGCAGTTTCAATCTGCATTATATGATTTGTGTAGACCCATATAATGCAGCTCAATGCAGTGTAGATCCAGTCAGAGTCTTACTTAAAAGCATGCAGTTCAAGACAATAACATTCCCACCATTTTGAAACATTGATGCTGTTACTTTCTTCACATTCAACTGTAAATCTGTCTTTGCAGAATGATGCTATCTGCATATTTTTAGCCTGATGTAAATATGCACCTTGTCAAATCTGAGCCAATTGTTCATAAGGCCAGTGAATGCAGCTGTTCTGCTGGGACAGTATGCATCTCACTGCCTCCATTCTTGTTTCATTTAGAACAATGGTTCTCAACCTGTGGGTCCCCAGGTGTTTTGGCCTACAACTCCCAGAAATCCCAGCCAGTTTACTAGCAGTTAAGATTTCTGGGAGTAGAAGGCCAAAACATCTGGGGACCTAAAGGCCACTGGTTTAGACTATCCCATCATATGGAGGCTGTTTTTGGTAAAATACATTAAAAAAGGGTTTACTATGCCTCTTTGTGTACCTTACTAACAAGCCTTGGCTAGGGTGCCACAGCTGATATCTCTATTTATTTATCATGTGCGAAGCAACTTGAGAATCCAGTTATAATGTATAAAAACATCAAACAAAGTTAAAAACTTGGCATTATGCTACGTTTCCTTTGACAAGAAGCTGGCTACTTGGAGTGCCTCTGTTATCACCATAAGAAGGTCCTCCATTGTGCATGTGGCAGGGCTCAGACTGCATTGTAGTAAATGGTCTGTGGTTTGCTCTTCTCCACACTTGCATGTCATGGACTCCACTTTATAGCCCCATTCCTTAAGATTGGCTCATCTACCTACCCACTACAGCTGCTGCCTGGTAGCTGTTTAGCACATGTAGTCTGTCTCTTCAGCAAAAGTCCGTCTGACGTGGGAGATCCTATTAGCAGCACTGCTGCCATCAGTTTAGCCTCACAGCATGAATTAATGAAAGTTTATTTATACCCTGCCACCATCTCCCCAAAAGGACTCGGGGCAGCATGCAATCCCATCACCATGGCTAGACAGTGCCATTGGTGAGCAGCATCTTCTAAGGGACTTGCTGATGTGATAAATCTGAAAATGGATAATTTCAGGAGAAAAGGCAAGAAAGAACAACATGTGATAAGGAATAACAAATGGCATTATGTGCTTTGTAACTCTACAAATCTAAAAACACCATGGTAATATGATCCTCCCCCATGGTAGTGAGTTCACTGTCAAATGTTAAGGGCCATGTGGTAGCAATATAACCTATGCGTCCTTCTACCTCCCTCGCACTGGAAGAACAAAAACAAATTCTTTCTGTAAATTCTTCTTTCTGTGAATTGTTCAAGGGAAGAACTAGAATTATCTTTCTCCCAGAGTATTCCTGACTAGAGTAGCTGCTATTTTTGGGCTGTCTTCCACCCAAGAACCAGGGCAGATCCTGTTTAGCTTCCAAGTTCAGACATGATCTGGTCCTTCGGATTATTTAGGCACCCATCAAGTTATCATTCAATTTATTATTCAGTTTATTATCATAATAACAATGGCAATCTCTCTTTCACACACACTACTACACAATGATATCCCTCTATCCCAGAATATATCCTGATAAATGTAGACCCACAGATGATTCATTAGCCTGTTATCTCCATCTTGAGACTGAATCTAAACTACAACAAGACACAAAATCTGGCCTAATATTGGGATTTTTCTGTTTCTTTCTGCATCCATTGGTTTCTGTATTGCCCAGCCTGATGAATAGTTCTGGGGAACCCTAGACCTTCCATTAACCTCTGAACAATAAGGGTATTATTAGGCAATTTCTCTTTCCTCTTCCTCTTTTTTTTTTCCTCCAGAATGAAAATGTGAGTAGAAGAGTGAAAGCGGAATCCACTTTGTATGTTTAGTTCTTGTATCTTCTTGATTTTGATGTGCTGTTCAGAATAAACTGTGCAGAGTTTGAGGTTTTGGGCTCTTATGAAGGTGTCTCAGATGCTACCTGGGCAGATGACTGCTTGTCCCTTTTATACATCCAGCCCATTGCAAAGGTCAGACAAAGGAGGATGGGCATTTTCAAGCCAATTGATACCATGAAAGACACATAAACCAGGTAACTGCAACAAAACAAAACAAAATACAACATTATTACTATTACTCCAAAATAAAGCAATGCTATATTACCAGTTTTTTAATAAGAAAAGTGATCTGCATAATATGTGTATAAAGAAGCATTTGCTACTGATCCCAATATCTGACTATGGAATTAAAATATTACTGTGAAGTTTCCCGCTCTTATCTGGTGTCTTTACAATGCAAAGTATCTCTGATTATGGTCCAATGGAAGGTGCATATGCAGGGATAATCAGAAACTTTCTACTGGTTGCTGACTGGCTGCTAATCGTGATTTCTAGCATTGCTTTAGAACAGTGATTCTCAACCCTTGATCCTCCAAGTATTTTGGATTTCAGCTCCCACAATTCTTAACAGCTGGTAAATTGGTTGGGATTTCTGGGAATTGAAGTTCAAAACTCCTAGAGAACCAAAAGCTGCGAAAGACTGTTTTCAAAGAATAGTGAGAAATAAGTGACACTCTTGATATAATGGTTCCAGTCCATCATCTCTTATCATCTATGCTTGCTAAAGTTGATGGGAGTTGTCATCCAAACTCATCTAAAGCACCTCATGTTTCCAGTTGTGTTATTGTGAGATAAATAGCCTCCCTATATCTCTTTCCATTGCAGCCCAGTAATCATCATCCTGGTGTATATGTGTGCCTTCAAGTAAGCTATTGACTTGTGGTGACTCCATGAAAACTCATAAGGTTTTTATAGGCAAAGAATACTCTGAGACGTCTTTGCCAGTTCCTTCCTATGAAATGTATCCCAGACCTATATCCATCCAATTAGTAACCAAGGCTGACAATTACTAGTTTCTGAGAGTAAATGGGATATGGCTCTTTATCTGTAGTACTTATTATTACAGAATCTAAAATTTAGAACAGTGGTTTTATTTATTTTTTACCAGGGACCACTTGACCAGGGACCACTCTCCAACATTAGTACCAAAAGGGTTATGAATCCATTTTTGGTCAACTTTAGATATGGTTTGGTTATTTGGGGTGCTGATCAGTGCTCATGAAAAAAAATGCAAAAACATCCTTACACACCTGATGGAACTAGAATCCAGGCTGGAAAAGAAGTCATGGCTGAGCTTAGGACTATTTGATTTTTCAGTGGTTACTGATGCAGGAAAAAAAAAGGAAACAAAGTTGTGAAATCAGTAAGCCTCAGAAAGACAAAAACTCAACTTGTTAATTGTCTACTAATGTATTTTTTTTCTATTGTAAAATGCACTAATTTCAATACAACCACAACCAACCTGTGACTCTAAGGGCCCTTCCACACAGCCATATGACCCATAATATCAATGCAGAAAATCCTACAATATCTATTTTGAACTGGGTTATGTGAATCCACACAGCCATATATTTCAAAGCAAATAATGTGGGATTTTATTCAGCTGTGTGGAAGGGGCCTATGAGATGTTTTTAGAGATGCTTATATAGGAAAAAGTGTGCCTGAAAATTGAAGTATTGCAGTAATTATTTTAGTCAATGACCAGGAAAAGACTTTCTGACCCCTGCCTAATTTTGATTGTAAGCAGTTGACTTCTACATCCAGATACATCTCCATTTCACATGAGAGAGGGAGCTTACAATTATTTCACTTTCTTTCAATCCTCACTGATAAAAGATGCCAGTTACAGGGGTGACACTGTTTCCCAACTTTGTTTTATGGAGTGGAATGGGCCCCAAGCCTCCCTTGAACAACTCCCTTTGGCCTTTTCCCCCACTGGAGGTTTGATAGTGGAACAGCAATGGTGATCAACCTTCCTACAGCACACCCTGAATTTCCTAGTGATGCCACCACTAATAGAGAAAAGGCGCAGTGAGCTACAATGGGTTATAGGACAAAATACAGTTATAGTAATATTGTTACAGTATTTCTGTCTTCCACACCAGCTTTGATCATCTTAAAAGAGCTCACACATTTTCAAGGAAAACTCTGGAAATTGTGATATGATTTGACAATAACTTGGGCTTCTTGGAACTTTGGGAAAGGCCATAGATGTTGTCATAAAAATTACTTCCTCAAAGAGAGGGCTGTCATTCAAAGAAGAGTTGGGTGTGACTGAGTGAGTTCTTTAATCTGAAATGTTGTACGTTAGCATAAATACTCACCAGGCAGGACCCTGAAAGCGGCCCATAGTCTAAATTCAACATCATGACCAGTCACAAAATACCCATTTCAGAGGAAATCAGACTGGTGGAATAGAAACAAAGAACTTGCCTAATGAAAGCCAAAACCCATAGCTTTGGACCTGCATTTCTTTCTCTGATTTTTGTTTTTCCTTCCAATCTATCTCTTCTCACACATGCACACACACCATGGGGGAGCTATCTGAATAAGGATTCTAAATTCCCCTCCCAAAACTATGAGATTTTTTACCCACAGAAGTATGATGACACCTTTTACATGGGTGGAGTTTTATCTAAGTTGGGCTCAACAGAATTTCATTTATTGCCTTGGCAGACCAGTTTCAAGTGGACAGAAGAAAACCCCTCTTGGCTTTGAACATGAACATCTTAAAGAGTCCAGTTCAGCTACGCTTGGTATGTCGGCTGATGACTACCACACCATGACACCATCTGGTAGAAGGACATCATGCCATCCTTCAGGGAGAAGAGGTTAGGCTTTGTTCTATCAGACTGAAAACGTGTATAATGGCTTCCTGGGCAATGTTTATATGTTTTAATGCTCTTAATCTCATTTAAATTTTTAATTGAAATGTTTATTTAATTGTATATTGGAGGTATATTGTTTTTAAGGCATTGAATTATTGCCTATCCTGTAAGCCAGCTTGAGTCCCCCTCGGGGTCGAGAAAGGTGGGATATAAATATAGTAAACAATTAATTAACTAAATAAGAGAAATGTTGTTTCTGTCTTGCAGGCCATCTTGCAAATGGATCTGCTAGATTTCATACTATGCCAGAAGAAAGGGAATAATAAATGGATGACTGAGAAAGAATCAGAGCAAGGCTTGGAAGGATAAGAATGAACACTTATATCTCATAATCTCACTCATGTCACATTGTCATGCTTTATAGAGGAGTGCTGTCATCTTTGACTAAAATGAATATTGACTTCTGTTTGGAGCTGAGAGCTTTTTTGAGGGGGTGTATGAGAAAGTCAGATGCAAATTGATTAAATTAAAATTATAAAGCGAAAAAAGCAATGCAGTATTGATGTGGATACCTAACACAAAGAACTTTGGATGCACCTCACAGAGCAGGGACCACCTCACCTACCTGTCACATCAACAGGAGCCAATTGATTTGGACCTCCATTCACATTTACCCCACAGTTGTAGGTTCCAGTATCCATGCTGGTTAGGTTATCCATTGTAACAGTGAACTGGAGTGATGCATGGTTGTCTCTAATAGAGATTCTCTCTACTTTCTCCAGTTTCTCTGACCCTGAAGTCTGAATAATGATTGGACAATCTCTGTTCATTCTTCTGCACCAATATTTCACATTTGCTTCATACTTTTGATCATAGGTGCAGTTTACATGTACTGAGGTGCCTACAACTGCAAACACAGTTGTTGGGCCATTCAGATCACAGAAACACCCTGAAATATTAAAAAAACAGACTAAGTTACACACCTTCATTCTAATGTAAACACTGCTACATTTAGGGATTCAGTTGGATAGGTTGGATTGAAATAATGTAAAAGTTTCAACATTTGACTATGATGCTGGAGACCAAGGTTAAATTCCCCAACCGGCCATGGAAACCCATTGGGTGACCCTTGGCAAGACACTCTCAGCCCCAGGTGCCCTTGGGTTGTTACAGGTTAGAAAATATTTGAAGGCACACAACACAGATATTGTTACAGATGCTGCAGCAGTAGCTACTGCTGCTAAGGCTATTTTGCAGGATTGTTGTAAGAATGACTGAAATATGTGAGAAGCACTTCTAACACTTGGAAGATGCTATAAAAAGTAACTTTCGCCATCTCCACTAGCAGAATAACAATGTTAAGATTTATCAAATACCATAGCATAATACATCCTCACTTCAATACTAAAATATAATTGCCAGAAAATGTAGTGTCACCCAAGAATATCCCATAGTGTTTACTAGGATATGTACTGAAGCTATTGCTAAAGCATTTAAATCTTATAAAACCAAACATATCTAATACTTAACCATTGATTTCAATACCCAGCCCCACATGTTTCCCAACAGTAACTTTAAAATCCTGAGATTTAACATTAACATTAACTTTCAGACATTATGTTCAGAAGTTATTATTTTATTGTCTTTTGCAGACTGGGCATATTTTAGCAATTTAGGTTGACCTACAAACTATTTTCTGACTGAGATTATTGGCACTGAAACAAACCTACCAGGAAGGAGGAAAAGTGAACCCATCAAAGACAACAAAGCCATTATCTAAAACAAGCAGCTTCTCCCTTTCCACTCCTTTTTTCCTTTGAAGAAAGCACACTTGAGGACAATCAGCAGCAATGCTTGGTGGCATCATCTGTAGATGTTATTGCTATGAAGCTGATAAGCAAACACTTTTTGCTGCTTCTTCTTTCTGAAAGTTCTTTCATCACTTCCTCTTGCTTTTTTCTCATTGCTTTTAGACACTTCAAAGTTGTAAACAAACTGTAAATTTTCTCAGGAGAGGGGAGATTGGTTTGAATGCAGGGCAGTTTTGGACAGAAGTTTAGTGACTGGCAACAACAGCCCAACAATGAGAAAGATGAGAATGCACACTAAAATGTAGAACTTGACAAAATTATTTGGAGAGGGGAAGTATAGTTTCTAGAATTCCCTAAGCAGCACGTGGCCATATTCAGGTTGGACAGGAACACATTCTTCATTTTATTTCTTTTGCCCCTTGGAACAAAGATGGGAGAATTATGTAAGAGCAAATGATGGAAACAAGACACTACTATAACTTCTCCGCAGGAAGGGGCAGGCTGACTCGAGGTTGCTGCAAAGGTTTTGCGGCTTTAGTGTTCTGCACTCAAGCATAACCAAAAGGTTTCTAAGTAGCAATGAATAAGATGTACTTACATACCATAGTTAATTGCATAATAGCCACATCCCCATTTTTTGATCCAAAAATCAACATTTTTCCTTTTATCATATAAAATAGTCACATTGTTTATTCATTGCCCCAACTTACTGTTGGCAGGCAACAGTAAAAGCATGTAGTCAGCAGAGGAAGATTACCTCACTGCAGTAAAGTTTAGCTAAGCTTCTCTATCATATTTTCTTGATTCATTTCATAAGCTACAGCTTTGCCCTCCTGTCCACTCACTTTTAGGAATGGCACTTCATTTACTCACTCACCTACACGCCTGCTCACCTTTCAAGCACAGACCTTCATGCAGCTGAGTGTGAGCAGGGGTGAGGGTAAGTTAATCTCCACTTGGAGATGCTAATATAGGGGGCGGAGTTACCATGGCCGGTTGAACAGACGTCTTTCCTCCAGCTCTTGTGGAAATATAGCAAAAAAGCAGTGAAAATGAATGGATAATTGTCCTTTCTGGATCAAAGGGGAGGCGAAAGTCTGGTGCACGTGCAGAGCCTAAGAAGGTAATTTATTACCAATTACTTGCTTTGATTTATGAGCTTTGGCAGAAGATAAGGCGACTGCCGAAAAATGGCTTGGAAGCTGCTGTCGAAAGTGAAACCAAATTGCCAATTATAACTGCGCACTGACTTGGAGAAGACTTGGAGAAGATAAACAGCTGCAATTTAAATACAATATTAAAATACTAAAATATTGGATTTAATGACTTAATGATCCGGAAGGCAAAATAAATATTAGAGGCAGATTCCTCCTTTGAAGAAGGATCGAGCCAGTCTCGTTACATTAAGGCGAACCTCCTGGCATTGCAAGGCATAACTGAGTGGGACTTTTTTGTACTGTGGGCTGTGTAGAACGGGAAAACAAAGCAATTAAAAAATTGATGAAAGCAGGAGGAGTGAAATTGAGGTTGAATGAGAAAGAATAAACAAAGTAAGGACACCTCAAAACCAAATCCTCTTTGGTTGCGTTCCAAACCTTCGGACAGATCGCTTTCAAGATTAGAAAGACTGGAAAGGGTCCCTGAGGAAATGAGCACTGTTAGGAGAAGTCCTCCCCTCCCCACAATTAAGGGAAAGCAGTTAAAACGAACACCCCCCCAAACCCCCCCTCAAATGGAAGGGGGGGCAAAAGGGGGAGGAACTATTTCTACCTCGCTGCCATGTTTAACAGCAGAGCCAAAAGAAAGCAGAATGAGCAGTGAGGGGGAAGAATTGGGGATGGGCAACAGTCAAATGCTAAGTAAAATAGCAGAATTGATTAAAGAAACGGCTGAAAAACAAACAAAGGAAATGAACTTGAATTTGAACCTGATGTTTGATAAAGAAAGAGAAATAAGGAAGGGCGAAATTCAGGCATTGAAGCAAGAAATTCTGACCAGCAATAAACAAATGAGAGCAGAGTTGGACGCGGAACGAAAAAGCTCGGACGAAAAATTTCAGACAATAAGAGAAGCCCTGGAGATTGCACAGGGAGAAATACGAAAAAATAAAGCAGAAATTGAAAGAAGTACACAGGAACAACTGGTACTCAAACAACAAACGCAAAAAAATGAAAATAGGCTCTCTGACATGGAAAGAAAGTTTGTGTACATGCAAGACAACCAAAGAAGAAATAACGTAATAATAAAAAACTATCCAGAAGGAAACAAGAAAGAAGATCTGAAATCTGAGATCTTGAAATGGTTGCAAAAGATCTCGCCAACACTAAACTGGTCAGAACTGGATATTGAGAGAGTTCATCGCCTTCCAGCTGGAAGAAATAGAATAATTCCTAGGAACATAATAATTCGATTTCAAAATTTCGCAAAGAAAGAAGATTTGATGAAAATATTAAAGAAAAATCCAGATTTCCTAAAGATGGGTGACTCAAAATTGGAAATATTTAATGACTATTGTTCTGAAACTAAGAATTGGAGATATTCAATGAAGCCTATTACGACGCAGTTAATGAAAGCTGGAATTGTGTACACCTGGGGATACCCTATCTTTCTTAAATTTCAATGGAAAGGCAAGAGATATAGAATTGATACACCGGAACAAGGCTATCAACTACTGGAGGAGCTTGGCATAGTAAGAAGACAAGAGAGAGATCGAAAGGAAGAGGAGGTGAAGGATCCGGATGGAGGAGAATTGGAGAAATTAATTGGTGCCGTTGGAGGAATCGAGATGTAAGAAGAAATTATACACTGCAATCAAGTTTTTTTGTTGAATTAAAATGAGCACTCGGGGGGAGGGAGACTCTGGGCCACGGGATGACTTCGCCCCCCCTCCCCAATTGGGAAGGCCGGGGGCCATGATTGGGACGAGTAGTCCCGAAGATTGGAAGGGGAGGAAGGGGGGAATGAGGGAAGTGGGGGGATTGGGGGGGAGGGGGGAATGGGGAGAAAGGGTAGGGGAGGGAAAGGGGCAAGGGTTCACGTTGTTTCAAGCCACAAAAAAGCTTTTAAAGGGAAATGGAAATGATGTCCCATAAATTAAGAATTTCAACACTTAACACGAGAGGGTTGGGGACGGTAATTAAGAGAAGGCGGATTGAATCTTTACTGAAGAAGGACGCAGCGGACCTCATCTTCTTACAGGAAACACATCAAAATAGGCGGGGCTCAAACGAGCTAAAGTCGAGTTGGATAAGGAACTATGAAACATCTTTTGGGTCATCAAAGTCAAGAGGAGTAGCAATAATAATAGCTAAGAAATGTAATTTTATCATAAACAAGGTATTGAAAGATGAAGAGGGAAGATATATCATAATATATGGGGAAATAGGGGAGGAAAAATATGTATTAGTAAATGTATACGCACCAAATGTAAAACAGCAAGAATTTTATGAAAAAGTGTTAGAGCAAATAGAGAATTACCATCAACAAAATGTAATATTTGGAGGAGATTGTAATTGCTGTATGGATTTAAAGAAGGATAAAACTACGATAGCATCAAAAGTTAGAAATATTGAAACAACGGAATTAAGTAGAGTAATGAATAAATGGCAATTAAAGGACGTATGGAGATTGGTAAAAGGGAATGAAAGTAGATATACATACTACTCATCGGTACATAAGGTGTATACAAGAATTGATTATATTTTTGTCTCCAAAAATATGACAAGTAAAGTACTAAATGCTGATATAGGTATGATTAAGATTTCGGATCATGCTTTGGTTTCAATTGAGATTGTGTTGAAATGTGATTATGACAAAATGAAAAGGTGGAGGTTAAATACAAGAATACTAAATCATAAAGAAATAGTAGATAAAGTGCAAGCAGAATGGCAAGAAATTTGGGGTTTTAATGAAAAGGGGGTGACAAAGGGAGTTCTATGGGATACTATGAAAGCAGTGACCAGAGGGTTATGCATAAAAGAGACAATTAACTTAAGAAGAAGGCAAGAAGAAAGGAAAAGGAATTTAGAAAGAGAAATAGAAGAGATTGAAAAAGCATATGTAATAAAGAGAGATATACGAATTTATGCTAGGCTAAGAGCAAAAAAAGAGGAATTGGATAAAATGGAAATAGACGAAGTACAAGAAAATTTAATTTATTTAAGGAGGGAATATTTCGAGTTTAGTGATAGGAATTCAAAGATGCTAGCCAAATCAACACAGAAAAAGAAAATGGAAGGAATGATAAATATGATAAAAGATAAAACAGGTAAATTATGTAGAGCTATGAAAGAAAAATTGAAAGTATTTGAAGAGTTTTATAAAGAACTGTACCAAACCAAAGCAAGTCCCATAGAGGCAATTAGGAAATATGTGGAGGAAAATTGGGAGAGTAAGCTGGAAGAGAAAGATAAAGAATTACTGGAACAACCTATTAAGAAAAAAGAAATAGAGGAAGTTATTAAGAAATTAAAAGTTGGCAAAGCTCCGGGCTTGGATGGTCTAGGGACAGAATATTATAAAAGCTTTAGAGAAGTTTTAACCCCAAAATTATTAGAATTGTACAATGGAATAATGAAGGGAGATAAAATACCCGAATCATGGAGGAAATCATTAATAATATTAATACCTAAACCTGATAAAGACCTAACAGACCCAGGGTCATATAGGCCCATATCATTAATTAATCAGGATGCAAAGATATTGTCCGCGATAATAGCTAATAGAATGAATAAATGTATGTATAAGTACATAAAAGAAGATCAGTGCGGGTTTATAAAAGGAAGACAAATGTCAAATTTGATAGGGAGAGTACTAAATAAAATTCATTGGGCTAAAGAGAGGAAAGAAAAAGCAGGGATATTATCATTAGATATTTTTAAAGCGTTTGATTGTGTGGAATGGGAGACATTAAGGGAAATATTGAATAAATTCGGAATGGGAAATAGAATAAAAGGAGTATTAAAACAATTTTATTCAAGGAACTCGGCAGTGGTAACTATAAATGATGGAGTGACAAACGAAATAAAAGTGACTAGAGGAACTAGACAAGGGTGCCCTTTGTCCCCGATACTATTTGCCATGGTGATAGAACTGTTTGCTAATAACATAAGGAATGACAAAAATCTAGAAGGGTTAGGAAAAAAGGAGAAACAGAAGGTGAGTTTATTCGCTGACGATACATTGTTATTTATAGAAA